TGATTTTCGATGAGGACAAATAGCAGAGAGTCAAACTTGATGGTAGCAGGAGAGGAGAGTTTTGTTCCAGCACAACTTGCTCGCAGGTAACAGCAATAGGACGGGAGGTGATGGCCTCATGTGGTGCCAAGGGAAGGTCATGTTTGGTGTTAGGGAGCTCCAACGAGCAGTGATGCATGGACACAAGCTGCTTGGAGAGTGGGGGAATCCCCATCCCTGACAGTGTTCCAGAGCCATGGGAATGTGGCACTTGGGGACCCAGTTACGGTGAAGATGGACTGGGGTTGGGCTTGGGGATCTTGCAGGTCTTTAATGATTCTGTGATATTGGTCAATAAGTTACCAAAGAAAAATGATGTTGGTGGCATTGATGAGGAACTCAGTGCTCCATCCTGCAGGCAGGATGAGAAGGCCAATGGGCTGCAGGCCAGGAGAGCACCTGCTGCAGGAGGCAGTGAGTTGCTGGTTGTAGCATGGGGGATGTAATGGGGAACGCTGTGAGCACTGAGGTCAGGTGAGACCAGAGAGCAGCAAGTGTGGGGCAGGATGGGGCTGTGCTCCTTCAGCATCTTCAGTGATGCCCCTCTTTAGGAGAACAAGGGTGTGATCACTCCAGCTTTGGCTGGAATGCACTTTTTTATCTGCAAAAATGAATCCTTCCTTTAATTGAATCGGGTATTCTCTGCCTGAAGGTAATCTTCCCTTTGGCTGATGGGATGTTCCTGGAGTGATAGCAGTGGTAAGATGGGTTTTTGTCGGAGAGAAACAATCTTAAGTGAAATCTTTCAAACTGTAATGCAGTGTTTCTTCAGGTGTCCAGGCTGATGGGCGGCATGTTGTAATGGTCGTCATGTTGAGATGCTCATCATGTTGAGATTGTCATCGTGTTGAGATGGTCGTTGTGTTGTGATGGGCAGCTGTTGAGAGGCTGACACATCTGGCCTCTCCACCTTGGCATTCCCCAGGAGCTGCTCCACACCAGAGATCAGAATGAAGCCCAACTGAGTGTAATGGTGACAAGCTCACACTGCAGGCAGAATTCCACCTATTCTGGTGCCTCAGAACCCAGCAAGGACGAGAGACTGCTTTTACAGATGAGCAGAGCCTCTCAGCTTGTCCTTGACAGCTGCAGATAACGGGAAGATGAGGGCTTAATTACTTTGTAATTAAGCTGATGTTACCATCTTATGTCTGTTCAGTATCTAACACAAAATGAGCTGCTGATTTTTGGTCATTCATTAGGAGGCAGCAGCGTGGGGGAACACAGATGGGTGGGGATGGGGATGGGGTCCTGCCTCCAGAGGCTGAGGAACAGCCAAGCTCTGCATGCTGGGAGCTCCTTTCCTCACTGGGAGGTTCTCAGGGAGCAATTTCCATCTTGGAGACACTACAGAGCAGCAGTTGGTTGCTGCTGCAGCACAGAGCTCAGGCTCAGGCTATCACTGTGCTGTTCCAGCTCCATCTGTGCCCACTGCCATGGCACACGGAGTGCTGGCAGGTCCTTCCTGAAGCAGTTCAGTCTCTTTGGAAGCCTCCAGTTCCTCCTGGCTTGGGCTGCCTGCACTTCCATCCATGGAAACGGTTGGTTTGGTAATTTGGGGTCATTGCTGCATGCGATGGTGTGGGTGCAGAGCACCATCCTGGTTGGCTGCAGGGAATTGGGACAGTCATTAGAGGAGCAAGGTAAAGAACAGTGCTGGGTCAGGACTTCTGCAGTCTGGGGTTTGCCTTCAGCTTTAAATCTAATGGCATCACAGGATGGAAAGCCAACTCCTGGCAGTGCCATTGCACCAATAATGTTCATCCCAACACGGGGGCAATGCATGTCCCTGCTGCAGCCCTGCAGCCCCAGCACTGCTGCCTCCACCTGGGGCTTTGTGTCCCCCTGCCAGTTTGGCTCTGACTGTCAGGCTGGAATGAGTCAAAACTCAGAGCAGAATGAGATGGCAGCACTATGCTGTGCTGTGGAATGGGGACTGCTCTGATCTGTGCCCAAAATGGGGCCCTCATCTGCAGGACTGCAGCATGGGAGCCATCCCAACATCCCTCCCTTTTGGGGCAGATTTCAGGTGATTGCACTGCAAAACCTCTTCCCGAGGCCAAACTCATGGGAAATGGAGTAATAGCATCACCTGGAGCCAACCTGTAACTTTTTTCCCTGTCTGGACTGCTGGGCTCCTCACATGGGAAACAATCCCTTCTCTTTTTTCTCCACGTAAAACAATCCCAAGTGCTCGGTGTGTGTTTGCCATGTGCGCATCCCATGTGCACGGTGACATTTCTCATCCTTCTGTTAGTACAGATGCTGCAAAGGCAATAATCCTGAAATGTCACAGCTGCAGATTCATTCCACACAGATAAGATGGGGCAGTTAAATAAGGAATCACATAATACTTAAATATTACCTAGAGGACACCAAAATCTGCAGGAAGAGAACAATACAGCGCACAGCACCGGTGTGCTCAGCATTGCTGCTCCACCTGAGGAGCACTGAATGCCCCGAGATGGGCAAATGAAGGGAATTTCATTGGAAACCTTGGGAAAGTGGGCAGGCAACTCATCCCAATGAAGCATACAGGTGGGGAAATGCTGAATGCTACACTGAGATTTTCAGTGCTCCCCCTCCTTCATACCAAGGTCACCCCAGTGGGGTTCCCCGCTCCCAGGGCAGTGCACACCTCCTGCCAGGCACAGCCCAGCTGCCCTTTGCTGTGGATGTTGTTATTTGGCTTTTCGACCCACCTTTCTCTCCCTGTTTCCTTGATCAGACCATTCCAATCCCATCACAGGGCTGCTAATGACCGTGCTGCACCAGCAGTACTTTAACCTCTGTGTTTTCTCCCTGCTTTCACTGTCAGCTTTATATAAAGTGGCACTTAAAATACACACGTAGTCCGTTATTTTATTGCAGCTGAAGGTGCAGCAGCACCTCCTGCACCAAATCATGCATGTGATGCTCAGCAGAGCACTGGGATGCACACAGGGCAGCCTGACCCCCCCGCAATGCAATCAGTCCCCCCACGTCCCCCCTGCCATCTGCTCTGCCCTCTGCATGGATACAGCCCATGGGTGGGCGACGGGCTCGATGAGGCTGCATTAAAACCATCCTCATTCTATGTGTGAGTATTCTGGCTTTTGCCTTAGGAATGGGGAAGATGGTTGGAGTGCACTGGCCAGGGTGGGTGAGACATCAGCAGCCCCTGGGACAGCAGATCACAGCCGGATCCTTGGGCTGACGTAGGATGTTTCCCTTGTTTCATGGTAAGTTGGAAGTTTGGGGGGTTTTTTTGTTTGTTTTTGGGGGTTTTTTTAGAGCTTTTTATTATTCATCTGTTGCAATCATGGCAAACACATCATTTCACAGCCCTACATGGAAATCCAAAGCCAAGGAACTATTTTTAGAGCACTAAATGCCTCCCCACGACGTATTAACTGTGGAAGAATAAATACTAAAGGCGCTCTTGTCACATCTGAGGTGGCTGTAATGGGGAGAGAAAGCAACGTTGTGCCAGCAGCACTTCGTTAAACACAACGAAGGAGATCCTACTGCGATTCTTTCAGGGGAGGCTGAGGGGAAATTCATTCACTTCCACATCCATGGCTGCAGATTTACGGGGACATCTCCACCCCACTGGTGTTTCACAGTCGCAGAACTGTGTGGGTAGGAAAGAGCTCTCAGATCCCCCATCCAACCCCATCCCTCCACCATAACCACGTCCCCACGTGCCACATCTCCATGGGTTGGGAGCACCTCCAATGCCCAGCGATGGAAATTCAGTGCAAACCCTTTGGGCAGAGACACCCACACAGTTTGGTGGTACAGAGCACGCCGACATGCACGCACACGTAAAACACTGCTTTATTGACTGCATTTGCCAACACATTGAGGAATGCAAAGGTTTCGTTTTGTTGTTTTGTTTTGTTTTTCTCTCATAAGCAATGGGCCATGGTCCCAATGTGTATTAAAGCATACACTGTACCTAAACAGGATGAAAATAATGGCAGACAGAGCTATTCCAAGGCAACACAAAGAGCATGCATAATACAGTCTCACACAGAACGAGTCTGATAACATTATATTGCTTTAAGGATTAACTAACATGGAAAATGTACAAAAAGGAGAAATAGGTTTTTGCATTAATGAAAAATACATTTTTTTTTCTCTACAAAGGAATTTCTAATACAAGAAAATAAATATTGCAACATAAGCCAAAAATAATTTAAAATTGCTCTTTTCAATATATTTTCAATATTTCTCTTTTCTATTAACAAATGGCACATCACGTTCTTTGAAACAAAGAAAACAGAAGGGTTTCCTCCTCCTGCGACATTCATATCGTTTCCTGTGACTGACGTGGGGTGGGTCTGGGCTGTGTGCGGATGGAGCAAACGGGGCGACCCGGAGGAACAAAGAGCACCAGCCACGGCGAGAGGGGAGAAGAAGGATGGATGGGTTTGGGGAGCGGTGCTGTGAGCGGGGCTGAGCCAGCACTGTGCTGGTGCCGGGGCTGCTGGATGGGGCTGCCCCGCTGCCGAGGCGACGGGCGCTCTTACAGTGCAAACTGCAGTTTATACATCTGAAAAGACAATATTTTTTCTCTAGCAAAATAAACCCCTTAGATTTCTCTTCATCTCAAAATACATTTTACAGCATCATCAAAAAAAAAAAAAACTAATACGGCCCTTGTGCATCGCTCTCATCACGCAGCCCCCCGCTCCTCCCGACCCAGTGCCAAACCACACGGCCGTGCTGGGGCTGTTCCGCAGGGTCCCCCCGTTTGCTTTCCTGTACTGAGAAGACGAGGAGTGCAAAAGCCGATGAGTGGAGCTGTGTACAGTGAGAAGTTGTGGATTGCTTTTGTTTAACCATAACTGAGTGAAGCACACGGAAGCAAGATTCATTAAAAGGCAGCATATTGATTATTGGTATGACTCTTATACTAGGATACTGTAGCTAAAGCTAGCAAGCCTGATAAGATAAACTAAGTCCTATTTACTGTATTTAACATTATCTGAACATACCGAGCCTTATTTAATGAGCAGATTTTCATTTCCAACCTCGATGGATGAATTTCTATGGGAGGTGGTTCCCGTTTGACCGATCCATGGTTCTGCTCCCCGCGACGCAGCCGTGCTCTGGATGCTCCATCCCAGCTTGGGGGGCACCAAGGGCTGCGTGCTGCCTGGGGTCAGCCGGGCTGCAATCTGACCGCTAATAAGGACTCTCTGAAGGCTGATAAAGCTGATCTACTCTAAAACACCGGGACAGTCGGTTAAAGGAGTCTCAGAGTATCAGAAGAAAGCTCACAGTGAAATGAGCAAAAAGCACTGGAAATCAAAACGGAGGGGCGCAGGCTCAGCACCCCTTCAGCAAGCTTGGAACCTAACGCTGCAGCAGTGTGCATGAGTGTGTCTTTAGTCCTTGGTTGCTAAATAACTCCCAATTGTTCCTAGTGACAAGTTTCCAGTTTCTGGCTGTGCTGCTTGACTGTCAACGTATTCTTTGGCATCCACAAAAAAAGATTTGACTGTTCTGTTGGACAACTGTAAGGTTTTCTGTTTGAAGTGATGGGTTTAACCAGTTGCAGAAGTGTCCCAGGTTAGTTAGTTTCTTTTTTTTTTTTTTTTTTTTCCTTTTTTAAACATTTTTTATTATTATTTTTAAAAAACAACAACAACAAAAGTTTCAGTGAATTCCTTTTTTTTTTTGTTCCCTGAGCTCACACTGGGGTCACTCCAATAAAACACGTAGCGCGACTTCACTGTGACCTTTGAAGCCAAAACTGAAGTAATGGTGCAATTAAGTGCAAACATGGAAATTCGCCTGACTCGTCGGTAACATGGGCTTTGAACAACATTTAAGGCTTATTGGGGACATTTTATGCATTAAATTATTGTCATATTTATAATGTCAGCTTCTGTGAATCACCCTCCCACAAGGAGTCAACAGCTCATAACCAGGATTTAAGGAATTTAAAAAAAAAAAAAAAGGATAAAGGACGGGGAGGAATAAATTCACCATTTCCATTGTAGCGTTTCGTCGGAAAATCAGAGGGCTGAGCGTGCTCCTTCCCCCCGGCTGCAGTGCCTGGGGCTGAGCATGCTGCTGTGCAGGGGAGGCTCAGGTGGGTGCAGGCTGCCCAGTCCCCCCAGTGCTCCTAAAGGACTTTTCCCTCTCTGTCCCTCCCCTCGCCTCTATTCCAGCTTGCTGAGCGCTAACCCACGAACCCAACCAAACTGCTTCTGAGGGCCGTGGCCGAGATGCCACCTCAGGGACAGGAACAACCTGGGATGGTTTCCAATCAGAAGGGAAAAAAGCAATGACTGAGGTTTTTCTACAAACACAAACGTGGCTCTCTCCCGCCCCGAGCGCTCCCCCCACCAAACTCGTTGTGCTTTTGTCGTTATTTATTTTAGCATCGTCTACTTCCCTCCCTTGTCAATGCACGCGCCCATGGCTGGCTTCCCTGCTCGGCTCCCAGCCCCTGCCTTTACCCCGATACAGGAGGGAGATCTGCCCCTCTGGAATAATGCCCATTGCATGGCTACCTCCGCAGGGAGCGGGGCAGCCGGAGGGGACAACTACTGTCACGGCAATCTACGTCGGTGAAGCTGAAGCTGTATCTCAGGCAAAAAGAGAAGAGAAAGACAACGGTGCCGAATTTCCAACTATATATACAGATTAAAAATCCCCCTCTCGCTGTGATACTAGGCAGAAATTGGCCATGGCAGTTGTGATGGGAGGAGCAGGGCGGCCGCGTGCCGTTAGGAAGCCAGGATGCTCATCCGCACGATCTCCTCGCCGCCCGGCTCCAGCTGGCCCCGCTGCGCCCGGCCACCTCGCGGCTCCCCGTCCGAGTCGCTCATCTCGGCGTCAGAGAAGTAGCCATCCGTCTCAGCCTCGAAGCGGTGCAGGGGGGGCCCTCCGGGGCCATCGGTCTTGGGGGGCTGCGAGCGCCGAGTCCCTCGGCTCTCCTTTGGTAATTTGAACCGCACGACGGTTTTCGGGCTACCTACGGGGTCAGGCACTTGAGCCGTGGGGTTGGGCTCGGGCCGAGCGCCGTTGGCCGCCACCACCGCCTCCTCCTCTCCGGCACAGCCCCTCGGGGCCAGCGGGTCGCTGCCTTTGGGGCCGGGCCCCTTCCTCGCCGCCCTTTTTGCCTCGCCCGATCCCCTGCGGTCCGCGGGCCTCGCCGCCCCTTTCTCCGACCTGCCGGGCCGCGATTCCTGGGCACAGGGCTTGGCAGCATCGTCTGACAGGTCGCTGGTGTGGTTAGTCCACCGCTCCGAGCCCTCCTGCTGGCTCCTGAAGACAGCGGTCAGGCCGCTCCGGGGCAGCTTTTTCTTAGTGTTCGTTCTCGTTTTGCTTTTCACCTTCTTGGCGGCCTCGCTCTGTTTGAAGGGGGACCTCAGGGAGTGGTCCATCATGAAGCTGAGCAGCGTCTCCTCGTCCTGGAGCAGCTCCTCGGACAGGCCGGGCGTGCTGTCCTCGTGGTGCGCGTTGTTCAGGGACCACTCGCTCATGGCCATGTTCTCAGCTGTGATCTGCACTGACTGTGCCAGCCAGCTGTTGAAGAAGGTCCCATCGATGGGGAAGGAAGTCGACAAGCCTGGGAAAACAAAGGTGGAGAACTGGCTCAGGAACCAGAAGCAGCTCTTCCCTTTGAATAAGAATGCACAGCGCTCAGCAAAACTCCCTGATGCTGGATAAACTCAAAACGACTCAGCGTGCCACATAAGGAACCAGGAGGGGGTTTGCTGCAGTGTTAGTGGTGAATTTGACCCTAGAGTCGCACGACATACAGATCTGAGCAGAGCATCTTCCTGAAGCACTGAAAAGCAGCCTGAACCCGCAGTGCAGTGCAGGGGCAGCAGGACAAGGAGGGCTCAGCATCCCCTCCCAGGAGCTGCTGCACAGTCCTGAACAGGGACACGTCCTGTCTGACCCCTGCTGCTGCCCCACTGCCCGCAGCACTGTGCTAACCCAGTTCCCAGCAGTTCCTGAACAGGCAGTGAACCCTAACGCAGCACGGCTTGGGTGAGATGGGAGGAGGGCCTGGGAGTTCTCTCCGAGCACTTGGAAGCATGAGAATCAAAGAGCAGCAGCAGAGATGACAGGCTGGAATGGAAAAAGCTGAAAAGCATCCTAATAATTCTGTCTGAGAGCAAGAGTGAGCATGATGGGCTGGGACGTGCCAAATCAGCAGACCGAGAAGCAATGCCAAAGGCACACAGGCACAACCAGCTTCAATCCCTGCAACAGAAACCCATCGGTCTGACATCACAGTTTCCTTCAGGGCTGGGGGGAAGATGAGATGTGATGTTTGCTGTGAGTGCTTGCCTGTCAAAGTAGCAATGCAGAGATGGAGTGGTGGTGCTCTGACTCACAGCATGGAGAACACATCCCCCGAATGATGCATGACCCAGTGCAGCCTTTCTGCATGGGTAAGCACCCCAGGGGTTAACCGTTGCTATGAAGCTTCAGCAAGCCCAGCTTAGGGACTGTCACCCCGAGGAAGTTCCCATCTGCCCCTGTGGTCCTTCTCCAGAACAATCCTGATGGTGCCGCAGGGCAGGGCAAACAGCACAGGGATGATGAGCTCAGGGCACCCCAAGATTCCTCCCCCATCACAGCAGCCCCAAGCGATGCCTCAAGCAATCTGTAAAATCCAGCACACTGCAAGACCTCGTTTCTCTTCTCTGCTGCCTGGTTTTCCAGACTGACTGAAGGGCAGTTTCTTTCCACAGCCCTGTAGGCCCCCATTCAATATGACAGAGCTTGCCCCAGAAAACTCCCCTTGTTCTGCTGGTGGGGATGCAGCTGATGGAGCAGAGCAGGAGGTGGGAGAAGCATCTGCTGGAATGACACTGATGGTGCTGGAGGTACATGCAAGCAAAATGGCACAGAAGATGTACAGGATCCGCCCTGCTTTGAAGTGGGTAAGTCTGATTTTATCACCAAGTGCAATTGCAGCTGTTCTTGCACTCTGTGCAACCCCTAGGCTGTTTTACAGCCTGGACCCAGCAGGGTGAGGTCTCTGCTGCAGCACTGTGGCCATGGCATGCTGGGGCTGATCCCACATGGGATGGGCTGGGGGCTGCACCGCGCTCCTCAACGCTGCTCCCCAAAAGCAGGAGCCTCTGGAGAGCCGCCAGCCCACGAGAAGCTCTGTGCCCATAAAATCAGACTTACCCAGTTGTCCCAACACAGTTTCGTTGACTGATTTCCTTTTTTCTTTCTTCTCAGGGCTATTTTTTCTACCATCTCTTCCTTTCCTTCTCGGATCACTTTTCTTACCCTTTGTCTTCTTCCCAGTTTGTTCTGGCAGTTTTTAGAGAAAAAGGAAAACTGTGTGTGAGACGAGGCACCAGGATGAGCCAGCTCCACAGGGCACACCCTCTAGGGATGAAGGCTGTGCTACTTCTTAGCCAAAAGTAGGCTCACGTCTCTATAGGTTAAGGAAATGTGAATCCTGTAGGCTACATAAAAGAGGTTTGGGCTGTGGCTGTGAGCTTGGCGTGGCTGCAGGAGCAGTGCCACTGAAGGCAGCAGACTCATGAGAAATAGTGCAGCCACCAAGGCACCCTCCTGGAATGGGATTTGGGGGATGCAGGGAGAAGCAAGGGGGACACCCCCAAACTTTGATCTGAAACCTTCCAGAAAATGAGAAGCAATCCCAAACCCTGCTCTGGAAGCTTCACAGACATCAGGAACAAGCCCAAACCTTACTATGAAACCCACCAGGAGATGAGAGAGAACCCCAAACTCCATTCAGAAACCAACCAGAAGAGCAGGAACGCACCCAAACTGTTCTGAAGCCCTCCAGGAGATCAGGGAGCCTCCGAACCTGCTGGCACATCATGGAAACTGCCTGTGCACATCCCAGGCTAGCTGTGGACACAGCTGCAGGAGGGACTGAGCTGCAAAGCATGTAGCATTGGCAGCATTTTATAGCAGACCTTGGTGTGATTTTACCTTTCAGCTGTGGTAACTGTTTACACTCATACCAGGCAGTGGTGGAAAAAAACAAAGCTATAAAACCGGTGTATTGAACACAGCTAAAAGGAGGAGGAAAGATGAGCAACATTGCCTATGGAAAGCCAGGAATGTAACTGCAAGCTATGCAGCCGTTCAGCTAAAAAAAAATCAATGTTTCCTAAATGGTTTTGAATTTCTACTGGATTTATTCCTCTTGGGTAAACAGGACAAATACATACCCTATAAAAGTACAACTTGTATTGCCAAGCGCTGCACTCCAAAGGTTTTTAGTTACTCTCTCAGGCCCAGAGAATTCCGTGCTGAAACATCCACATTGATTTTTGAAGGGGGAAGGACACTGCTCTCACACCAGCACTTGGGCAGCTGATGGAGAGGAGCCATGCAGGTTGTCAGCTCAGACCTGCACAAGCCAAGCAGCTGCCAAAGCAACGATGTTAAGAACTGGACGCTGTTCCTGATGCAAGTGCATCAACTTGCTGTGTTGGATGGGGGCAGCCCAGAGAACAGCCCCTCTCCTTTCAGCTGGGCTGGAAATGCATGGGGCAAGCAGAGGAGGGCATCTCACAGCACCTGCATGCACAGGGGATTTACAGTCCCAGGGTTGCCAGAACTCCTCACAAGCACAGGGCTCACCACAAGAAAGAAAAGCAAAAGCAAAATGGGTATTTGCTGCATTCCTGCCAAATAACAGGAGGAACAGACACATTTTTCACTTTGCTTGCAAAATGAAAACATATCTTTGTTTGGACAGCACAATGGATCTAAAGAAAAACGTGAACATTACTTTTTGAAGAGGGACCTGTCAAAATAGCAACCATATTTCAAAGCCAGACAGCGTTTTCTATCTGCTTCATGCAATAAAAATAAGGGAGAGAGAGAGATGGGTTCATCTTACATGGGCAGTCCTCGCTGATTTTATTAAAAATCTCCTGCTGAAATCATCATCTATCAGTGAGAAAAATAAACCCCTCACGAATGGCGCTTCATATGGGAGCCATTCCAAAACCAACCTGAGCTAAAACCATCTCTGGGATAAGCCCAGAAGACTTTGGTTATAGCTACAATGAAAGCAGTTAAAAACCAGCTTTGTCTGGGCAAAACAATGTGGATTTTCTTCCTTCTTTGAGAAACTGCAGGCATGCAGAGCAATCCAGTCAGGAGCAGCACAGAGGGATTGCTACAGGGACCATTCCCATTGACTGCAACTCACTCAGCCACCAAGCCACTTTCCAGTCACTAACGATGCAGAACACAGCAGCCTGGTATCCATAGGTTTGGTGCTGTGAGCTGCTGGGGACCCTTAGCTCTAAGTCACCTGAAGCGAGGAGGCCCAGCAAAAAATGTGGGCATTGAGAGCACTGTGCACGATGAGGGTGGCAGAGGTGGGAAGTGGGCACTGAGGATGGGAGCAGTGTATAGAGTTGGAGGAAGGATGGCCTGAGAGGTGGGATGTGCCACCCCACAGTGGGGAGCTGTGCTGCCAACAGAAAATAAAACAGCAAAATGCTCTTTGACCCATGGAAAGAGCACCAGGGAGGCACGCAGCAGGTGAACAGCAGCTTGGCTCAGCCAGTTCAGAGCATAAAGCTCACGGGTAAATGCAAAGTGTTTGGGGCTACATGAGAATACCACTTGCACCAAAACGCAATTACAAAGCCTGCATACCTATCTGCTGTAAGAATCACTACAGTCCTCCAGGCAGGCCAAACACTCACAGTACTCCAGTTCCCACCAGTGCACCCCTAATGCCACTCCATTTTGCTCCAGCTCCATTCAGTCCTGTGCTAGAAGGCGAATTCCCACCTTGTCAAAAGCCTTCCTGGAAAAGGACCCAGCTGAAGAACTGGGTTCAGCCACCTTTCCCAAACAGCCAACGTGACAGCAGGCTGTGCTCCTGAAGCAGCTCTTCCAGTGAAACCTGCTAACCAGGGGAGCAGCAACCTGCCCCTGCCATCAGCCCACATCCTCACTGCACACCTTGGGCCCTGTGCTGCCCAGCTCTGGCCATGCAGGGCAATCTGCAGAGGATCCAAGCCCCACACGTCTCAACACGCGCATGTCTCGGCCTCCAAAACTTCAGTCAAAGGAAACTTTTGTAAAGGAAAGCTCAGCCCAGACAGTTCCTGAAGAAACCCCAAACATGTGATGGCTTCAAATGCATCTCCAAGCCACAAATACAACAAGAGTCGGATGCGTTTGCCAAAGCTCCAGATGCTGCTTCTGGAAAAACCGTTCTGCAGCCACAGAGCCTGGTGCTGTGCTGCCACTGAAAAAAGGAGGAGGGATGCAGGGCTGTGGGTTTGGGCACTGTTTGTTTAAAAGGGGGAAAAAAAAAAGACAGAAGGAAAGCAACTTTATTTCAGTTTCTTAATGAAGAGGTGCCAGAGCTTTGCAGGAAGTACGTGTGTCATTCTCACTAACCAGAATGAGGAGCAGGAAGAAGTACAGGAGGTAAAAGCCATCCCATCCACAGCTTAACTTCTGACACAACCAGAGGGAGCCAAACAGACCCCAGAGCTGTTTCATGGAGCCAGGCAGTGCTGAGGAGCAGCTCTGTGCTCAGGGCATGCTTTCAAAACAATGAACAGAACCAAGTGCTCCTGCAGCAGCACCTTCATGTGAACCCTGGGATTCTGTTTTAGCACCAGCACCTAACAGCATTCATCTGAGCAAGGATTGGGAGGGATGTGTGACAGCAAGGACTGCTGGCACCTCAGTCACCCACGGTAAGGCATTATTGCACACTTCAGAACAACGCTGTAAACGTTTGATGAGTCAACACAGGAACTGTGCTGGAAGCACCCAGCAGGGCAGGGGTTGCTCTGCCTTCCTCTGCTGGGGGACTGAGGTTCAGAGGAGGGCACTGAACAGCTTCTGCAAGCAGTACTGACCTGGGTAAAGATCCTTCTCAATGAGTATCATCTGCAGGTGGAAGATCTGCTCCTGGAGTTTACAGATGGTGTGTTTCATTTTCTCCCGTCTCGTCACCATGTAACAGAGATTTCTAACCTACAGAAACACAAGAAACAGCATCTGGTTTAGCAGGGCTGGAAGTGAATCCCCAAGCTGCATCACTGTTCTGCTGCCTGGGGTCAGCTCTGTGCCCGGCGTCCATCCCCAGCCTCACCCAGGTTGTGCACAAACACCCACGTTAGTCTGTAACCTCTCCTTCACAGGCTGAGCTCACAAGCAGGATTCACACTCCTGCACCCATGCTTTCTAACACAGCTCTCGGGCAGGAAAACAGGGCCAGGGCACTGCCCTGAGCAGTCAGGATTAACCTGCAGTGCATTGTTCAACCTGTGCTGCTGCTGAACATCAGTGCATAAAGAGAGCAATACTCACCAAAAGGGAATGGAGCCAAAAGAAGCCCAGGTACCTTACCAGAAATCACGCAGCAACAGTGTGGATGCACAAGCTGTTGTAATCTCCCATCAATTGCCCACAGGCCTACTGATACAGTTAACGTTTCTAAAGGATTCTGTAAGTCTCAGAGGTTGGGATGCTGTGGGAGCAGAACTGTAATGCAGTTGGGGTCTGGGGCATCTCCTCCTATCATGGGCCCCCTCACACTGGGACTTGCACCAGAAGTTGTGGGGCTATTGGAGAACTATTTCCATTTTTATCCATGAATTCTCCTTTTGCATCCAGCATGAAGGTGGGCAAGGAGGGCAGAGCCAGGCCCAGCAGTGTGGGCAGCAGCATAGCTGTGCTGCCTGCATGAGCCATGCAGAACTGCCCACTGCCCTACAGCAGGTGCTGATCATGTACAAATACAGCAGAACACTCAGCTGACATCAGACTGTGCCAGTAGCCATGTGCAGGTGTGGCTGTCCTGACCCATAGCTGGCCAGCACCTTCCCCTCCACACACAGATTCATGTTTGCCCCACAAGTACCTGCAGTCTCACTTTGTTTTGTACTACAGCTCATGACATTTTATCAACCGAGAGGGAAGCTCTAAGCGCAAGCAACCAAGCACAAGAAATAAACTTTTCCCTAGCAAAGTGCATTTAATGCTTCCTTCTCCATCCCCAGCCCCCCCCAGGACAAACCCCTACCAGCACATCCATCGGGGGCAGGACGCATCCCCCAGTGCCTGCAGTTCTCATGCAAACCAGTGGCATCACAGTTACTCCTCACATGCATGCAGCTGCAGACAGCTCCAGTGCCATCTCAGTGCCACAGCTCAGTGCCACTGTGTGCAGCATAACTGGGGGCAGCCCAGCTCTGTCACCACAGCTGCAGCCATGCAGTGCTTCCCCAGGACACGGCTGGTTTCAGTTGGGTTAGCTGAGCTGTGAACTCACACATGGATACAGCAAGCAGCCTGGGACCTCACTGCTGCCTGGGGACAGTTAGGGAGCACTCAGGTGTACAAGGAGAGAAAAGGGTTTTTTTCTTTTTTTTTTTTTTTCCTCCCATCTCCTGGCTGTAAATATACAGCACATAGCTTGCTTTTTCATATTTTACTACGTTCTCTTTTTTTGTTCTGGATGGAAGAAAACATCAAACTGAAATTTCTTTATGAGGAAAACAACTGCCTCTGGCAAGCAGTATATCAAAGTGTTTGGCAATATCTCCTCTCTGCAATTTTATACTCCTGGAAGAAAGCATCACTTGCACTCTGCTTAGAGACTGCTGGTATTTACACACACTTAGACAGTAAAACACCACCCGCACTGCTTCCCCCAGCCAAGCTGAGATGCTGGGAAGAAAGCCTGAGAACCATACAGCTTTTTGTTACAGCTAATTTAAACAGCCAGCTCTTGGTAAAGGCTTTAAAGCAAAAAGAGCCAAGAAGAAAAGGAGGAAAAGCGGGGAGGACCACATCAGGACACCCAGGAAATGGGACCGGCACATTTGCAGACCTCAACCCTCGGTTCACTTCTAAATATTGCCTGGAGAGCTGCTGGGGGCTGCCATCACCCCAAATCCACACTGGCCAGGTGAGAGCCTCCTGGGACAGCTCAGCACAGCGCTCTGTACAGGGATACACTCCAGCAACAACAGCCCTGATGGAGCACATGGGTTTGCCATTACAGGGAAAGCCACACTCACCCTCTCCAGGTCTTGCCTGAGGTGTGTGAAAAGCTTCAAGCGCCGGTAGAGAACATCCTGCTCCTGCTGAGCCAAGTTGTCCACTTCATCCGTTTTTGGTGTCAGCAGCGGTTTGTTGGAGTTTGCTTTCCTCTTCAGCTTCCAGTACTGATAGACAAAATCCACCAGCGACTCACTTAAATCGAGGTTTTCTGCCACCTCGGAAGGCTTCACGAGTTCATAGAAGTCCTCCTCCAGCTGCTGGAGCTTTTGCTTCCTCAGTGTCACCTTCTCCAGGTCCAGCTGGGCTTGGTCAGGCTCTGTCCGTGTCTCCTCAGGTAGTTTGGTGGCACCAGTGCTGTGCTCCAGGCAGAAGGACTTGAACTTCACTTCATCATTGTCTGCTAAAATAGTCCGCATGTCGAGGTTGTGGTCAAAGGCGCAGGTGACGTGGAATGCGGTGACACAGGCAGGCATGGAGCACTGTGGGGAGAAGGACAGGGCTGGTGGTGAAGCACAATGGGACCACAAGACACAGCTTCACTAAAGGAGCAATGCCCTCAGAGTGACAGCACCCATCCCCAAGCCACGGATGCTCTGTAACACGCACTGCTCAGGCTATATTGCCCGAGTCCTACACACCAGTGAGGGTGGGCACCAAAATCCCCTGCAGAAGAAACCCAGGGCTCACCAGGCACCTCCTCACCTAACCTGCTTGTGTTCTCTGTGACAAGCCCTGATGCCTTTCACCTACCATAAAAACCAGACTCTGACAGTTCTTCCAGCTACACGTCAACAACACGTGGCCAGTGGGACGCCCAGAGATCAAAAGCTGATTTATCCTGAAAAATTTCCATCTTTATTTCATCCTGTTCCCTACCCTACTCCATTCCTATGCCATTGTTAATGACAGCCTACAGGTGTTAAGGTTCAGGAGTGAGCAGAGTACGTAAGAAGCAACCAGTGCTCCAGATTACGATGCCTTATACTTCTGGAAATTATACAGACTTCAATTAGCTCCATTAAAAAAAAAATTAGGAAAGAAAAAAGAAATTCACCATATACAGAGCAAAGATGCTATTTACGTTCATGAAATAAGGTTTGAGAATTGGTTCAGTGACTAGACTTACCAGATGTGCACCAGATGAAAGTTTTAACCATTTCCCTAACTTACCTTATGCTTCCATTACTTGAATCTCACAGACAGCAAAACAGATGAACCCCAAACCTGGTTTCCTACAGACGAAAAGCAACCCACCACCAGTACAGCACCAATACTCATATCAGCACATTCTCCCCCTCTGTTCATTAACTGTTTTTTAATGGCTCAGAATGTCAGGTAATTGCTTCAGCCATAACCCATAAGAAATCAGTCTCCTCCAGCTGCTAATGGCCAGTTAAACTGCAATGAGGCATTTTAAGTGAACTATTACTGTAGGCACAGCATTTCAGCATTATGCAGGGACTGCTCTGGCAGGGCAGCGGGGTGCAGCACCAGCCTGGCCACGAACCTCCCTGCACATGGAACACAAACCACCAGGATGCTGTAGGGTTGCACCAGGGCTCTGCTGTGCTGCGGTTTAATTTTCAAAATGAAAAGAAAAGAAATGCTGGTAGTATCTGAGGACAAATGCTTGGATTGCCAAACATTAGTATGCTCCAGGGGTGGATGCTGGGCACCAGTTCTCCCAGCAGTGATATGCTGCTGGTGGAGCAGGTGGTGGCACATGGCTGCCACCAGGGCTGGGCGTTGGCATCCACCATACTTGCCATGTCCACCCATACTCACATCTCCAGTTGCTGACATGGAATACAAGCAGCTCAACTCACTCTATTCAAATACATCCTCTTATTCCTAATTTCAGCCCGGAACTGCTTGTGAAGGTGGCTGCCAGCTTTTGGAGGAGTTAATATATCATGTGCTGGCTTTTAAAGTGCATACACTCACTTCTGCAGTCACAGAGAGAGATTTACTACGAGGAAGAGACGCAATGTCATTTGATGGAGTCCCTCTTCCTCACTTTAATGGCACATTAAGGTTGGAAGCCTTTGCCAGCTGTAAGTTCCCTTGATTGAGTTTTCTTGTCTGGTAGCCAAGATGGTAATCTTACAGCACAGAGATATATAGCCACGGAATACTCCGTTGTGTCTATTTTGGTGTAACAGCTGGGGGTGCTTCAAATTAAATCATCGGGAAGATCCTTTTGTGTTGCAATGCACATAAATACCTACAGAGACAGGGACACGGCAGCCTGTGCTGGGGACAACCCACAGCAGCATGATGGCATTGTCAGCACATTCAGGGCTCACTGGGACAGCACCAGCAGCAGGGGCAATCACACCTCAGGAATAAAGCAAAGTGAATGACGTACACCCTGGATTCCTCTTCCAGCAGATGGCAAGCAGCAGTTGTCAGAAACTGTGCCCAAAATGCAAACAAAACAATGAGGCTGCTCCAATGACAGGGCAACAAAGGAACATACCCAGTCAGCACTCTCAGTGACCTTGTCTGAGCCAGAAGCAGGCACACATCGATCCGTCCCAGCCCTGGTGAGCAGAGTGGTGCTGGGATGGACTCATCTGTGTGGGTGCAGCCAGTGGAACAGCCTGGGTGCACAGAGTGGGCACTCCCTGACCCGCTCTGCATCCAATCCTGCTCCTTGTCCCACAGTTCCTTTAGCTCCAGGATTTCAGAACATCTGCTGCACCAGGTAGAAGCAAATCCATTCCCAAACAAAATTCTGAGATGGTGAAGGCTGCACCACAGATCGATGTGGGCTGTTAATCAGTCCTCAAACAAATCTTGGTGGGAAGAAGTAGAGGGATGACTTTATCTGCCCATGAAATTCAAATACTGCTAACCATGAAACCCAGCAGATGTTTAACAGCTTACAGTGGTGCTATGCTGCAGTTCTGGGGCAGAAGTGGAAGGAAGTGGCTACTCCAACAGAACTGCAAGGGAAATTTAGGAAGGAAAAACCAATTACCAGTGCTGAACCCCAGCCAAGCCATCAGATATGACACTTCTGCATCGTCACAAAGAAATACCACGTGATTTTTAGTGACCACAGATGGGTTGGTTCCTGGTGGCACTTTTCAGACAGAACATGCAATTTCAGCCCCGCTGAAATCCTTGGAGGATGACAGGGCCCCACTTCATGCTGGGGCTCAGGATGTTGGTGAGCACCCACACCGCTCTTCCCCGCTCACAATTCTCAAGTTTCTGGATGATGTCAGCAAAAGATGATGTCCTTTGCAGAAGGCTGCCACCAGCTAACAGAGATGCAGCTCTTCAGGCTGCCCTAAAAGGTAAGTTCTTCTAGAGAGACAGTTGTTGTTTCCAGCGAGGAGGGCATTGGGTTTCTCTGTCCACAGTGTGTCAGGACGTGGGCTGCACACATCCTGGCTCCTGGCACTCTCTCTTGTAGTTCAGCAAAGCAAACAAGAAAATTCTTGCTGGATACTCAGTGCTCCTCGGCATATCCTGATGTCTGACCACAAGAACCACCACATAAAGTCATGACTTCCCCTTAAGAGAGGATGGGAAAAGTGTGTTTTCAGGGCTGTATTACTTATGTCCAGTACAAGGGAGCACTGGATCAACTACAGCAGGTTTACAGCTTTCTATCAGAAAAACAAGAGAAGTAATGATGTGCAAGCAGCAACATCAGAGGCACAGAGAGGTGGAAAGGGCAGAAGGTATGCTTCCCTTCTGGTGGTCAAATCTGGATGGGAAGAAATACCTCAACACACAGAGATGCCTCACATTGGTCTCTGACAGAGTGGAGGTTTCTGAAGCTGCAGCTCTGTCTGTGGGCACCCACGTGCCTGTTGGGGTGGCAGGCTCCTGCTCCCCAGCTCCCTTCCAGGGATACTGCCTCTTGTCCTGGCTCAGCCTGGTTCCAGTCACTCAGATAAACCTGCCCTGGAAGCAGTGAGGACATTCTGCAGCCTGCGGGCACCTGGAGCATCAGCTCCTGCTGCCAGGAGTGAAAGCTGAGTGCTTTAACAGCAAACAACCCTCTCCTTTCAGAGCTGTGTCATAAACCTAAAACGCTGACAAAGGTAGTTAGATTACACCTGTATAAACAGGCACTAATCAAAAATATGCTCCATAAACATCAGCTCTGAAAACACAGCTCTCTACCTCTGATGCGTATGGAACCCGATTATTTATCTACAAGTAAGCTTGCTGATTTACTCCACAAATCCTCAAACAAAGGCACTGCTTGCTTCTTTTTCCTCCTTTTCCTTGAAACAAAATCACCCTGAAAGCATTCAGGTAGCATCAGCAGACACTCCAGCGACAGCCTCATGAAGTCATATCGGACAGTAAAGCTCCTGTTCCATTTCAAGTGACATTTCATGCAAATCCATGCAGTCCCAGGGACTGCACTGCTAACACGTAATGCCGGTGCTGAGAGGATGAAGCCCCGGAGGAGCTGAATTTTCTTTGATGCTGCCAAGCCTGTTTGCCTCCTCTCCCTGCCCTTCCGTTCTTTGAAAGCAGTTGCCGCTATGACACAGTATCTCCATCTGGCAGGGTGAATAAGCAGATCCACCCAGAACCATAAAAAAAAAAAAAAAAAGTAGTGAGTCAACACTAGAGATTTAAAGAAGTATTGTGAGGTTTCATTTCAAGCTAAAGGGATTGCTTTTAAATAGCTCCCTTTAGAGTATTAAACCTGAGGCAGTCACACCAACGCAGCCCTGTTCCATCACCCTCCTGCCACCAGCCAGCTGCTCTGCTCTCCAGTACTCACTGCCGCACGCATCCACCCCCGTGGTGCGGCTCCCAGTGCTGTACAGGAGCTGATTAGCTGGGATTGGGATGCATCCAAACCTTTCTCCCTATTTTTCAAAGCTTAATGGCTATTCCATGTCCCTACTGCATGCCAAGACTGCTTCCACGTCTGGTCTGCCAAGGAAAGCACGAGCACCGGCACTGCACAGCTGCAGATCCCAGCCCATCCCCAGGGACCGCCAGGGTGAAGCTTGATGCAAGTGACCCAGCAAAGCTCCTGCACTGAGAGCGTAGCCCTGAAGCTCTGTCCCACTTTTGTAAGAGAAGAGCCCTGAGCTCCTGCTTTTAGCTGAACGCCTCACCACCTCGTCAGCATGCTGCTGCTGTGGGAAGAGCAGGAAATCGGATGTCTGCGGTGCTCAGCTTAGGTGCAGCAAAACAGGAGAACATCTGGGAATGTAATACGCAGTAAATACTCTATTTTGCAAGCCAGCAGGCTTTGGGGGGGGGGGGGGGGGGGGGCAGAGCTGCCTGATCCTGAGGCTTCCTGCTGTCCCCCTCGAGAAAGGTTTCACATCCAACCCCACAGCTTGTGAAACGCTCAGGCTTCAAATCCCATGGGAAATGGACTTCCTGGCAGCCACACCAAGCCCTTCCGCTGGGGGTTCCTGATCTCCAACTAAGGTCATCTGCAGCCTGGGTAATTAGTGTCACCACAGCAACATCACTGCATTACGCACAAGAAAGTTCATCTAGATTCCTAGCACTCAATACATTAAGAGATTGCAAACAACAACAGCTGATGATGTCTGATTGGTGCTCATGCTCCTTGTTAGGTGCGATCTTGGGACTCGGGCCAGGAATGAGCCCAGCCTGGATCTCGTCCACCAACAGCTCAAGAATCTCTTGTGGCTACTACAGGCACAACCATGGGGTCTGAGTTTCCTTGCTGCTGATTCACATACCTGAATGCAGGTCCCAGTGCACTCCTTGCAGAGGCTGCAGGACAAAGCCCATCTGCTTGCTGGGATATGTGAGATCTTAGTAATGGGTTCCATTTTTTCAGGACATCCAATGCTAACCTGGTCACAAAATAGAAGACATCGTCAATACCTGTTACTATCCCAAATCTCCTACAGGGATACCTGAGGCAGTCAGAATGAGGGGAGGATATTTTGTTTCTTATTTTTCAAGTCACTCATAACTTGGGTAAAAAGCCAACACACAAACCAGAAAGAAATACAGATGATGCTCTGGACTTTTCTTTCATCTGCCTGCCAATTTGAGCTAGTGCTTGCCCTTATTGTTCTGAATGCTGGTATGTCCTTGTCTCTCTGGCACTCCTCTTTGCACTTCACATCAAGGTAGGACAAAGTGACACTTTACAAACTGTTTCAACATCACCCCTCCTCGGGGAGCGTGGGTGCTTCCCATGAGCAGGGCCTTGCACCCCTCCAGTGTCCTCCTTCATGGGGAGCTGCTTGGCTGCTAATTAAACACTCAGCTTGGTGCCTGATGGGCATTGCAGCTCCAACCTCAGCAGGGCTCAATGAGCCCAACTGGAATTGCTGTTGATGGATATCTAAGCTCAGACCAGGGGTAATGCTATAACGTGATGGAAAGTACAGCAATAATAGTGGAGTAGCAAAGTTCTGGGCTGCAGCAAATGAGGACAAGCCCAAATGCAGCAGCCACAAGTACAGAAACAAAGGATGAAAACCTGCTTACCTGTGGAAGGCCTCACACAGGCAGGGATCCCCTTGCCTCCACTGCCAACCTTTAAATGAGGTCTGGGAAGGGGTGGATCCTGGCTCCAGCCCTTCCACTCACTCAGCTGCATTGCATGCACCTGAGCTCCCCTGGGTTGGCCCTGCCTTCCCAACAGGTGCTCCATCACTACTTCAAGCTGTGACTTTGCATTTTCGCTACACCTGGAAATCATGTCTGTACTGTATTTCAAGAGAAGGCTGGAAAGCATCTTACTTACTTCAGGTATCCATAAGGCACAGCTAACGTGGACCCATTTCGTCCCGCTCCGAGTGGGCTTCAGTGCTCCTCCTCTCTTCGGGCACAGCAAACACTTGGGCTGGACACCGAGGGCGCAGGTCCGGCACAGCCAGCTGCCAATGGGGACCTTCAGGATGCCATAGCATGCCTGTGAGACAGGAGGAAGATTGGTTAACCTGGGCATCCTGCAGTGAGCATCCTCCCGCAGCATGGCATGCTTATTGCCACAGCATCTGGGTGTCCTGGTAAAGAACAGCAGACCCAAAGCTGCAATCAAAGCAGCCAGTTTAAGTTCTTCCTTCCTTGTCACCTTCCTTATTTTCACATGGATACTCATGCTGTATCAATATGTCCTGGGTTTTAATTAAAAGCTGAGTGTACAAATGTGCTTTATATCCTGCAAACGGGAGCAAAAGCAATGAGAGCAGCTCTGCAATACAGACATCTGCCCACTTATTACACATGCACTTCTGAACAACTCCAAAATCGCAGTGGCTCACAGTACTGCCAGCTTGGGTGTGACCTGGTCCAGTGACCCAGGGACAGGGGGTTTGCATCAACAGCTCTCTGTGTGCAAAGGATGGGCAATGAGAATGTAAAACCAGCATGAGAGAAGCACAAACACACCTTGAGCTGACCCATCCCATGAGGCATGGGGTGGTGAATCTACCTCGAGGGTAGATGAGGGCTGTGAAGCCACAACCCTACAATTGGGAAAGATGGCCACACTGGTTAAACACCCAGCACAGACCAAAGGGGGAAGTGAAAATAACTGCATAAAAGTAAAAAGGGGAAACTGACAGTAATGAATATAAATCAGAAGGGAGGAGCCCCAATCAGGAAGAGTGATAAACCCAAAGGACACGAGGACATATCTGTGGCCAAGACAGTGGGAAGCAGAAGAGAACAAAAGGACTCTGCTGCCTGCAGAGCCAGCAGACCTGCTGTGATAACACATGGCACAGACAAGCCAAAGGGCTCAATAAATATTTCTCTTCCGTACTTGGGGAAGAGCCAAATGATAAGCTGTATCACATAATGATAATGATAAAATACTTTCCACTTCAGCAGTAACTCATGATTGTAAGTTACATACCACTAAAGCTGGACAGTCTTTAACCAGCAGGTGCCTATAACTTGTACTTAAGGAGTTTTAAAGAGTAGCAGACAACTGCCTTGCCCACAGGCTGCAGTAAGTCTCACAGCACTGAGGGTTTCTGAGAGCAGTGGAGAAGCTCGTGCTTGTGCCATTATGTTAGGAGAGACGATTAATAACAGGTAATTACATGAGTATGGTACAGTAGCATGGGAAAAAGGGGATGCTCAGCCCTCACAGCCATGGAGAGACTTTGTAGCACAATTTTAAGTTGCCCCAAACCATAAATGGACTCTGACAGTAGTAACTTCCATGGAGAAAAAGTCACCTCTTGAACATACTATTGGGAAAATAAAGTATTAAAGGAGGTAGTATGATTGCTGCAGGTCTACGTGGTTCACAGAGACTTAAATGTGTTTCAAAGCACCTGCAAATTGGACAGACAGATCATTTCTGTAAGAGATTTTTATAAAGTACCTGATTTGGTATCAGGCAAAACCAACCAAACAACCCCAGCATGCATATCTGAGCATGGCTCCTCCTCTGCTTGGAGGCTCTGGGCTTTGTTGCTATGTGAATGGGGAAAGAGATGGGATCTCTAAAAGCTTCCAAGTGGGTGCTGGGGTTCAGACCCGAGTATGTGCCCCAAAAATAAGATAAAATCAGCCATTTCTTTCAAAAGCCTTTAAATCCAACCCGCAGCATCTCCTTCTTGCAGCATCATGCTGCTCTCAGCACTGAGGCTGCTGCCGTGTCCGTCTGTCTGTCCTGCTGGAGCCTGGCCCCCACACTGCTGCACAATGGGTACACGTCAGCCCATGGCCAGAAATTTCTACTTGGGTTCACTAAAAAAGAAACACCAAACAAAAAAAAAAGAAGAAGAAACCAATCCCAAACCATCCCCAGATCATCCTGGTATTTTGTGGAATCTGATTCACTGATGGAAACCATTCAAAACACCCACCTCTCTCAACTATACATATCTCCAGCACTCTCCCACCTCCAGGAAATGCTGATGGAAAAGCTGCCCAAAAGATGAGAAAATGGAGGGAAAAAAAAAAAGCCAACAAATCACCCTTCTCAGAAAGGAGACCGAAAAGGGGCTCTGCTTTGGACTCTCCATGCCTTGGGGCTGATGCTGACATCTAAGGGCCCCACTTCTGCACTTCCCATTGCAGCCCACCCAGCCAAGTGTCCCTGGAGCCCCCACAGCAGGGATGGATGCTCAGCAGCAGCACACAGCCGAGCACTTCCCCACTGCCAGCATGTATGCACAGGAGCCCACAGATACTGCTGCTCTTCCTTCTTCCCACCAGCAAAGGCTTGAAGCCTTTACACTCAATTCTCAAAATATAAAACGCTTTCCTCCAGGCAGTGAAATAAAATGAAATCATACACTCAAAGAGTAGGGAAGCTGGGACAGAAGCCCTGTGATGTGTGACAAAGCTGGTGGAGCTGGAAGGTCCTAACAGCCCTACAAAACGTGCAGACTGAAGGGAAGCCAGCAGCCATGCTGCTTGTCCCCTAGGTGCTAAGGATCCCACAGCTTGGCAAGAACAAGGAACAATGAGCACATTCATGGAAGAGGAGGAATAAAAGGTCAAAGGGCTGAAGGAAAGAGGAGCAGGAGCACAGCACGCTCAGGGAAGTGGTTCTTGGGCTGCTGCTCACCTGGTGCACGCAGACGTTGCACTTGTCACAGAACACCATCTCGTTGCCATCCTCCCCCTCTGGTGAGCGGCAGACGTCACACACCACGTCCTCATCGTACTCGATGCCCAGGCCCTCCTCTGTTTCAATGGCAATGTTCATGTTCTCGTAGCACATCGTCTCCAGCTCCTCCAGCACTCTCTCCAAGGTGATCTCATCCAGCTTGGGCTTTTCTGCAAGGCACAAAGCAGAGATGGGGACATGGCACCCTGTGAGCGTCCGCAGCGTCATGCAAGGCGGGGGGCACTTGAGACTTCAGCTCAAATCAAAACTTCAAATCCGCCGCGGTGGGAAGATCTGCGATTCAGAAAACGGGATACAGTTCATGTTTCATAGACAGTAACAAAATATTGCTGCTGGCTGAGAGGAGAGAAATCCATTCAGCTGAACCAATGCGGATAATTAGGTCTGACAGCTTAAACGTTCAAGGAGACAAGTTCTGCAAAGATGCTTTCTGCAGTGAGGGCTCAGACAAGCTTTGGCAACACAAAGTCAATGCTTTAATTGCTAAGACTGTGAAAATTGACCCTTTTAAGGCCAATTAAATGGAACTGTAAAACGGAAGCCAAAGGTTGGAATTGAGAACAAAAAGTGTTTTTAACTGGCGGGGTCCTGGGGCACAGGATCAGACCTGGGGTGGGAGCTCAGACTGGTTGTGCTGCCTGTTATCCCCGCCGTACCAGTACCTTTAATGGAAACCAGTGGTGGACACGAGGACCTTTCTTGCTACAGGGCAACAGGAGACAATATCTCCTTTATAAGCAGAGGAGAAGAAGGATTGAGGAAGTACTGATGTGTGGTTATTTATTGAGAGTTCAAGGAAATATTCACCTCGCTGGGCTTCTGCTGGGCTGCAGGGTGCAGTCCATGTGCTGGGACAAGCTCTGCAGCGGGACAAGGCTGCTGATCTGTTCCTTTCCCCCACCAATCTGCCAAAAAATCTGAGTCAAGGGGCAAAGGAGACCCGCAGGCAAGACCAGCAAGCAAACGCACCATTGTCTGCCTTTTCAAGATCTTCCCCAATGTTTCTCCTTGGCACGGTTTCCCCTGGCTTGACAAGTCTCTGCAAACACCCAGCCTGGCACTGCACACATCTGTGTGGAGGCAGGGATCCCATCGCTGCAGACAGCGCTGCTCCCCATTGCTCCCTGCCAAGTGCTCAGAGCCCTGCTGCAACACACAGCCGGTTGGACCTGTTCTGGGAGCCATGAGCCTCACCAATGGGCTTTGTGGGGCCTGAGGAGCCCCAGCCCAGCAACTTTTTCCCTCAACAGTGGCCCTCATAAACACACCACCCCAATGCCCTTGCTGGAGGAAGAAACACAAGCTGTCATTTCCATAGAATCATAGGATGTTTTGGAAGGGATCTAAAAGATCATCTAGGGACCCTGCCATGGGCTGGCAGCCCCCCAACCAGCTCAGGCTGCCCAGGGTCCCAACCATTGCCTATGGCATCTCCAGGGATGGGGCACCCACAGCTCTCTGGGCAGCCTGCACCACACAGATATATCACGTTTACTACTCTAAATCCCATTCCTTGCCATATTTCAAGCATCACTAGAAAACAAGAGAAGGAGGTTGGTGTCCACCATGCCCCTGCTCAGCTCCCATTCCACACTGAGCGGAAAGGCTGCATCCCAGTGCCACAAGAAAAATCATCACCTGCAACAGAAGGGCTTTTCTCATCGGCTTACAGCAACGTATTCGTTACGTCGTCACGCCAAAAAATATAGATCTCTCCCTCCCTCCTGCACACAGGCGCTCTCACACTCCGTTTAGATGTAATTACATTAGGAACCCGTTTGCCAAGCGCCATTCAGAATACCTCAGAGCTTATTGAATTGACAATTGCACTTGATGGGGATGAAGCGATTAATCGCTTATGAAACACTAAACAATGGGGCCTGAGGGTGAAGTTCCTTTTCCATTTGCGCTCCATTTATCTCCTTCTGCATCATATAAAGCCTCCGCTATTAAACTCCATTCATAAAATTGTCATTTTTTTGGCTGAGAAAACACTATCTGTATTGATCACGGCCCATCAAAAAGCAAAACCAAAAAACACTCCACCAAAACACTCCCTGTGCAGTATGCAATATCACTGTTACCTGCTCCAGGGCATGAAGTGCCAAGAACCAGACTCAGATCCACTTGGATAAACACTGGGTGACTCCAGGTGAACAAGTGCAAGGAATAAACCTCAGCTCACAAGCATGGCTTGAGCTGTAACCAAGACCGCAGACTTGCAGCATCCTCATGCCCATCACTGTGGTCCAACATGTTTCAAAGAAACAACAATCATTTTTGGACATGGCTGTGAACCTCACCAAACCTGCAGGTCTTCTGGGCTCCCCTCACTCCCAGCCATGAGTGGCTCAGAGGGACAGAACGCCCCACTGAAATGCTCCCAGCTCAGGTGGCAGCAGGAGATGAAGCTCAGGCGGGTTAACAGCAGGAGATGAAGCTCCTGGAAGGTCCTTCATAGGGAGATGTGGCTCTGAGGCTCTGCAGGGCATGAGGCACTGAAATGAGAATTTGCTCATTATCCCATATACTCAGAAATGAGGCTTTCCTATCCTTTTCCCTAGAAAGCGATGCTCCCTTCTGGCTCCTGCTGCCTCCCACGTTTCTGGGGACTCAACATCAGCCCCAGGAGGAGCTCCCACACCCGCAGGGAACACCAGTACCAACGCAGCCACCACGGGATCCCCACTGGGACAAAGCCTCCTCCATCCCTGCCCCAGAGCCGGGTGTTCGTGGGCAGCCACCCTGAGCATTCCAACACTTCCTTTGCATGCTCCCAGCCTCCGTTATCATTATTTCTGCAACACCATAATTTATGTGGCATGAAGGAGCAATATTCTGCTAAATGAATTCTCAGCTACTCCTTATCCTGGTTTGAGCCTATTCATTGCGCAGGGAGGAAAAATAGCTGGAGAGCCACCTCTCACAGAACAGAGACCTATTTCTGACTAAACTGCACTCTGCTGAAATCAATTTGCCGAAACAATAAATCCTTTTAGCCTGTGTAGTGTACCTGGAGATGAAACATCTCACGAACAAAGACTCATCAGGGCTGCAGGCTGGGCCATTAGTCGATCCACAAGCCATAAACCTTGGAGTCTCTTTTTCAGCACAAAAACTGAGTAAACAAAACTACTGCTCCGTTTTCAAGAAACAAAACAAAACAAAAAAAGCACTTGTGAGATGATGCCTTTGAAACAGCAGGAGTAAAAGGATGCAGCTCCTGCTCACCCCCAGGGCTGTGTCCCAGGGAGCACCACAAGGTCAGGCGGTGATGCACAACCCAATGTTCACTCCTCAGTGCTCCCCAGCCTTTCAGTTGCTGCTGGTGAACCATCTGCAGCCCCGCTGCGCCTTCCTGCCCCCACATCTGCAGCCCAACAGCCTCCCTCAGCCCACACTGAATTTGGAAGATGGGTCCATTTGACGTTCACCTCGTATTGATCTTATTTACAAACAGACCCAAAACGTGGAGGGGAGCGCCGAAGCGCATGGCACCACGCAGCCCGCGTGAGCTGAACACAGGCAGTGAAACTTGGAGATATTTTGTTACAAACACAGCCTGCTAATGCACTTAAGAGATTTACAGGAACCAATTATCACCCTTTATGCCACCCACCGACATCAATTATTGCTCAAATTTAAGACGATGACAAAATGTTTTAGAAGCCACTTCATAATCTGCTGTCTCTCTCCTCTAACGCTGCGCACTGACAGAGCTGTCCTGGAGCACTCTGATTAAAGCCTCTCCACTCCACCCAGCAGCAGCACGCCGAGGATTGCTGGGAACTGCTGCAATTACTGCAAGGAATTTATGGAAATAGCAGAACAACGGCTTGACATAGAAACTGATTGGGCTGAGGAACATGAAGGCAACACGAGTGGTGGAGGGCTCGGTAAAGCCTTTGTACATCAGCTGCCCCTCCTGTTTGTGGGATGTGGGGAGACACTTGAAAGGGGAAAGCTGGGCTGCTGAGTAAAGGAAACGGAACCCACTACAAAAGGGACAGGGCTGTGCACATCCTCCTGTGTGACAGCCTTGGGAAATGCCTCCCGGGAACAGGCAGCCCCTTGATGCTCCAGAAGCCCCATCACAGCAGCCCCATCACAGCGGTCCCATCATGGCAGCAGTCCCATTGCAGTATTCTCTGCCTGGCTGCACCAGTATAGCATTGGGTTACTTCTCTACAGCCACAGCACGGCAGGGAATCGTGCCCCAAATCTTAAAAATACCAAACCAGCTTCACATGACAGATATTGCAGTGGCTGTGCATGGAGCACAGCGATGGGCACCTGCAGGCGGGTGGCACCAGCTGGGCACAGCTGAGCTGCGGTGTTATTGGAGATGTCCAAGCTGCAGCCCTGCCCTAGGGATCCAATATAATGCCTCAGGAAAATGGGTACCACATCCTGATGGGACAGCCCTGGGCAGGGCATCCCTGCTCTCCTGTAGTACATTTAGCAGCAGCCTCTGCTCAATTGAGCTTGTCTTCCCCACGGCTCCTCTGCCGACCTGGGTTTATTGCACATCTACTTGACCAACTTCACCTCCGCTGAGGGAGGCATGATCTAATTAGTACACAGACATATCTCAAGTATGCAGTGATGAATTCCCCCTGGAGCTTCAAAAGCAATAAATGTGACCTTTGCATGTTCCTGCCATAAAATAACAGGAACACCTCCAGCTCCCAAGATAGAAACTGTGGTGGGCATATGTGAGCAGCATACACCATATGGATTAAGTCAAGGGAATACTTAGAAACTTCTATTCTGCTTTCAGCAAAATTGATTCCGGCAACGTTTTTAGCAATTTCTTTAGGATTTTCCACATGTTTTTATGAAGTGCTGATCACTGCAAAAGGATCTTTCAGCCCAGGTCTTTGAAGTCTCTCTAGCCCCACTCTTACAACAGCTTTGTATTTAACAGAGATCACAACGTATAGCATAAAATCTTAATGAAAAAAACAAAGGCTCAGGGCATGGTTTCACCCAGAAAGGACAGCCCTGTGCCGCCAGCAGTGGCGTGTGCATAAATTGGTTCAGGGTTTCATTCACACAACCTCAAGACCCACTTCTTGCGCTGTCTCCTATTGCAGCAGCAACAAATAAAACATTCAGGCTCGCTTAAATATTGATTTTACCTCTAGCACTCAGAAGTCCTTTAAACAGTGCATTTCCATCAAGTACAGTCCCAGCTACTGAAACACATTACTGGTGGGGGTGGTTTAGAAGTATTTAAAACCATTTTATGTGAAAAAAGACTTTCTCTTTTCAGAAAGGCTGCCCACCTAGCGCAGAGTGGAGCAGCGGCGGCAGATAGCTGCAGCTATCTGCAGGTTTATCTGATCCCAGTGATAAAATTCCATCTCAGAGGTGACCTAAAAAGGACTGGAAAAGGCATGTGCTGTGCTCAGCGATCAGCGCTGCACTGGGATGAGCTAATAGGTGTTTTCCAGCTCTCCTCCCCACCGCTGCTCAGGAGCCAGTCAGAGATCACGCTCCTTCTTTGTCATTGAATACTTTGTGGATGACACACTGTGCCCACGAACTGCCCAATGACAGCAGCTCAGCTAAACACCCAGGAGGAATTTCAACTTCTGCGTATCTCTTCAGGCTGGGAGATAACTTCTGACTTCTCTGAATTGGGGGAGAGGCTGCAACTCTCCAGTTAAGTCATGTCAATGATCTCAGAGATTAGCAAAGTTGGTTTGGAAATCTCAGCATGTCATTAATGTTGAGGGCTTCCGGGAGAAAGCTCTATTTACGGATCACCTCCAGACCACCCTAAGCACGTTGCTGCCCTCTGGGTGAGGTGATGAAGGGCACAAAAGCTCCATTTCCCACCTGGCTGAGCACCCGATGGCCCCTGCCCTGAAAGAAGTAGAGGCTGAGCCCTGGAGGGCCACAGACCTGTGCCTCACGTGCTCAGGGCACTGCAAGAACTGCACCAGAGCCAGCCTTGATGTGCACGTGGGAGGGCTGGGGATGGGGAGAAATCATACACAGCTTTGGGCTGCAGCCACGTTTGCAGTAGATTTCACACAGCAAACACTGTTTTCCCAAGCTGCCAGCATATTTCAGGCTCACACGGTAATTACAGAGCTCTTTTAGCAACAGGAACGGACTGAGGAATCAGCTGATGGGCAGTGAGTCTCTTCACATTACCACTGCTGCAATCCCCTGGGCTCATTATTACCATCCATATTGTTATTACAGAGGGCTCGCTAGACACTGCAGTCCCTGTTCTGTATGGATACCCCCACAGGACTGCTCTTGTGAAAGCTCAGTGCCTGATGAATGACAGAGCTGCAGGAACAAAATGCAGCTAGCTCAGAACTGCAGAGAGCATCACTGGCAACGCACTGGCTGCATCCTGACATCAGATCCAGGTGCATCTGTCTGGGTGCTGTGTGTCCATACACAACGCAGTGCCAGCCCAGCACGCAGCCTGCACAGAGCCAGGTACAGAACGGGAGCTGCTCTGGGTTGGTACCCATCAGCCCCACGTTGCATAAATGGGAAGGATGCAGCCAGCACACATCTGGCTCTGCTGGAGCATCCCCAACCCGCTTCCGCAGCCCCGGCCCCAGCTCAGCCTTCAAGCGATCCATCAGCCAGGGAGCCCCACATCTGAAAACCATTTCAAGCATTGTGTTTGTAACCAAATACTTTGAAGAAATAAAGTGAGCCAAGTTTAACCCAACCGGGTTCTCTGCCCACTGCCTTCCTACAGGCTAAAGGAGTGTGTGCAAGGGGAAGTGGAATAGATACAGAGCCCTGTGCTGGAGCCCAGAGATGCCCCTGACAGCCAGCCAGCTTCAGTGGGAGGGGGACCCACAAAAACACCACTGGGACACTGGACTGGTATGGGGACACTTGGCTTTACCAGGGAGCACCAATTGCTCAGGGCTCAGCCTGAGCTGCAGCGAACCAAAACTGAGGTGTGTAGTGACAGATATAAGGCTGCTAATAGAGTCCCAGTTAATGAGGACAATGCTAATTGTGACCTGCCAGTTACACAAGCTCCACCACACTAGATCTGTCCTCTTCAGCAGTGCATCTGGTCTGTTCAAGCACTTGATAATGTGCCTGTCCCACCCTTGAAGACTGTTGCAACTGGGAGCAATGGGCAGGCACATTACAGCCTTCATTGCACCCAAAAGGTGAATGTTTTATTGTTTCGTTATTCTTACCTGTGTGTGGCAGCAACCACACCACAAAGACTGGAAAATCCCTCCAACCCCAGGTAGGACTACACACCCAAAGCCCATGCCAACAGATGTGCCCAACAAACCACGCACAGCAAAGTGCCAGCGGTCAAATTCCCAGCCCAGTTACTTGCACTCAACCAAAACGTGCTGACAATTACTTTAAAAGACATAACTCCTGCTCAGTGGGCAGCCCTGCAGGACTCACCCATCTCCTTCAGCTCCATGTTCACGAGCTCCAACCAGCAGGCATCCAGCTCATCCAGGTCATAACGGCTCACGCCCTGCAGGTACGTCCTCGTGGCTTCTGAAATCTCAGAGCCCGGCAGGCTGCTGGGGGACACTGGGGAAGGCAGGTTCTCCAGCTGGGGTATGATTCTGGAAGAGAGGAATGAGAGTTTGAGAGACAGTTACAAAGCATCCTGCTGGGAGCCCAGAGGCCATGCCTGGCCATGAGGGTGCACTTATGGCACTGATAGTCTGACTCTAGGAATGAGAGCACAGCTCGAGGCAGGAGGGAGATGAAGCACTACTGAAAAGGAGAAAGGAATCAGCAGTGAGTAACTTAAAGCATTCATTGCTAGCTCCTGAGGAAGGAGGAGGGGACCTGAAGGGTTGAGGCTGCTTCAACCAGCAAGAAAACAGCCCTGGCTGCCGGGAATGGGGCTGTGCAGCTGCCATCACATCAGAAAGAGGAGGGTTTGCTGCGTGCCAGGGTAAACTGGACACAGCACCAAAACAAACGGCTCAGGCTCATTTTTTCATGAACAGTTTTGATGTCATCAAGGAGAAAAAAAAAACACATGTAAAACCAGAAAAATATCCACTTTTGACTTTGATAAACAGTCTGTTCCCATGGGCAGGGAGTTTGCACTTTGCCTGCCTGCTCTGCCCACACAACGCCATGCCAGCCACGCTGACCATGGGAGACAAACACAAAAAGTGCCCCAGTATAGACTTAAATAAGCACAGCTCATACAGAGGATTGGCTTTTACTGATCTGGAATGAGGCTCGTTCTGCTGGCTCATGCCTCCATACCCCTCAGCCTCTATCAATCGGCCTCATCACATTGATCACTACAGAAGTAACGCTGGCACTGATGCCATATTCAGGCTTTAACATCACGCCCCACTCCTCCTAAAGCCCCTTGGATGCTTTTCAATGAGAACCAACCTCTCCCACTCCCCCACGCTCAGCACAGCCCCACGGATCACAGCCAGGATCAGCGGCCAGGGGGCTTTGTGTTGGGGTCTCTGCAGGAACCCTCTCACTTTGCAGGAGTTACATGATTTCCCTTCACGCTGTGAGAAATTAAGCCACTTTTACACTTTGCAGGGATCCTTGCTCCCTCTCTGCCTCACAAGCACTGCTGCACGCCTGCTGCCAGCAGCCTCCCACGTGTGTGCTCCAGTGCCAAGTGAGCGGCACGCCTGTCCCTCTGAGCTGGGGGTTTGCTCTGCCCCCTCCTCAGCACCATGCAGGCAGCTGGGGCTGGGCTGGAAATGCCAATGTCAATCAGCTGCCTTCCCAGAGAGCCAGTCCTGGTGCTCATACAGCACCAACAGCATCTGCACAACACAGCACTGAGAGCACAACTCAGCCAGCCACGGGAGAAGTGCCCTGAAAGGTCATTTCCCTCTGCCCTTCCAAATTATATCCATGACGAGCAGCTTTCCTCATGGCAATAGTTTTCCTGTTACTGCTCACTGACTGGAGCACAATTAAATGGGTGCTGGGCTGCAGGGGTGAGATGCTGAAGGGCAGCCCTGATTGCTCCATGCAGGCCTCCAGCTCCCGTTTCTGCCCTGGTTTACGATGCCTGCAGCCCCATGCCTGCCCATGGAGATGTCCCACATCCCACGTCCCACATTCCATGTCCCAGCAGCATGTCCCACATCCCATGCTGCTCAGAGCAAGCACACTGCAGCAGCACTGCCTGCAGGCTTCCTGCCCAGCACTCGCTGTCACTTCGCCTGCGCTTCTTGGCAAGTCAGCAGCAACATGGATGACACTTGCCATGCACACGTCAACAGTGTCACGCGTAATGACATGCAAGCAGAGGACGAGCTGGAAATAAGAAGCAGCCTGCGGTGCCAGATGACAGATCTCTGGGAGCTGGAGCTTGCTGCAGTATTTGCACAGCTCACGTTTCTGCCCCAAAATATCACCTAACAGCCAGACATCAACACAGAGAAATGCTGCAAAGAAACACAGAGAACAGCACGGCTGTCCCTTCCCAGCTGCTGCTCTGCCTGGAGCAATGGCTGTGCAGAGCCTGGGTTCTGACCCTTCTGCACCACCACCATCAGGTTCTGCAACTTTTCACGACTTGTTGAGATCCTCAGCAAAGCACCCAGCCTCTTCTGCCTTCCTTTCCCCATCAATGGATTGAAAATAACCATACTCCTCAACACTCCGAGGACAGCTCCTCCAAATCTCAGCTGAGGATCTGAAAGTAAAGCCATGAAAGCACAGCTCTGTGAGGCTCCAGATTTTAAAATGAGCTCACTGTAATCTAGGACAGGGCTTGGGGATTCAGTAAAGTCTGTATTTAATGTATTTAATGCAGACAGCAGTAATAACACTGAAACTATGCGTGCTCCCAATGAGCTTCAGGACTCTCTTCCAAGAAGCTCCCAGCCCCAGTAAATACCCTGGAGCAGCATGCTCCCAGCAGAACTGAAACCCTCTGTCCCATGAGCCATGATCAGGGTGGTTTGCAGAGCACCAGACCCTGGGCTGAGCAGCAGCAGGCTCAGCATGGGGGCTTGGAGCTCTGAGCAGTGGGAGAAAAGCACCCAGGAACACTGGGCATTCCTTCAGAGCTGTGCCTCCTGACCTCCTTAATCCCCGTTACACAAGCAGCCTGGGGCACAGCCCTGCAGCAGGTACTCAAGGCAGGTTGCCTGGCTTTGCACAGAGCTCAGTGATGCCATCACAAAGCTTCACGTGGGGATTGATGCTAACAGCACTGCTGCCAAGTATGCCTGGAGTGTGGCTTCTCCCCACATTGCAAAGTGAAAAGGCTCTTCTCACTGTGCATTACAACTAACAGAGCTGCTCTTTGCTTCTTGTTATTGAGACCAAGTTAATGAAGACACAAAAACCTAACGGTGCCCCACACGCTTGCTCAGCAGCAGCATCTGAAACATACCTCCAAGCACCTCCTAAACCTGAAGAACAGGTCCTGGGGAGCTTGGAGTCAAAGACTGCATGCATCACTCATTAGTCCCATAGGAGCGAGCACTGATATGGAACATCTCTTACATACAGTTTCAGCAGGTGAAACAGCACTCCTAAGAAGCAGCACATTCCCTCCTGATACACTAACATACATGGCAAAGAGCTTCTTGTTATTCAGAGTCATAGAATCACTTGATTTGGAAGGGACTCTGAAAGGTCACCTTGTCTCACTCCCCTGCAACGAACAGGGACACCCACAGCTCAAACAGGTCCCACCACCTCTCTGGGCAACCCGTGCCAGTACCTCATTGCTCTGAGGCACCCAGCAGAGTAAGATGCTTCATGAAGCACATGGACACAGTCTGGACACAGCAAGAGGTGCAGAGGCACTGTGATGAGCAGAGGATGCTGTGAGAAGAGAGTGGAGCGTGACCCCAGGCTGGAGATGGGAAGTACCACGGGGCCCCACGAATCACAGCCAGAGCTGCAGAGTGCACCAAAATGGGAAGATGGGCAGGAGGTGCATGATAGCAAAGCAGGAAACAAAAACGAAAGCAAGCATGAGTTTATGCCTTTATTTAGCAATTTAAAAGTATTTGTATCAATCAAGAGCTTATTTAAACGAAGGGCTGAAAATTGGGATCAGCTAGGAAAGCACAACAAACCTGAGGCCATTAGTCTGCAAGTGGGTCTCAAGGGCACTTGAGGGAAAGAAGTAAGTGGACCCCAACACTCTCGAGGATCACATCTATCCTGGGAGAAGATTATGTGGTAATAAAACACACTCAGCCAATTCCCATGGTTAATCATCTCTGTAAACGGAATGCTTCAGTTTGGCTGAAGGGAGAAGGCTTTTTTTTCCCCCCTATATTCTCCCTTTTAATATACCAGATAGAAATAATAAATAACCCCGCACAGCACTTCCCTTCCTAAAATACTTTGCTTTATGACAATGAAGGCTTCAGCCACTCATCTTCTCGCTACCTACATTCCAGTCTAAATTAGTCCTGTCCAGTGTCCATAAATAAATCAGCTTAGGAAAGTCAGTGGAAAGATAATTCTGCCAGCAACCTTCAGAGGATGCTGATCCTGCTATGCTGCCAGCTCTGCTCACAGGGGAATTCTCCTGCAGCACACTCCAACTTTAAAAAGGCATTCTACAATTTAAAGGGATGGTTTTCATTTGCTGTTTATTAAAATAGTATCCAGAAGGCAGTCAGACCAGACGCCCAAGCTTCTTAGCAACTTAAGCTCATGGATTGTATAAGCACTATTGCTTCCGAATAGCAGGGCAGAGCGAAAGGTGTGAGAAAAGGAGCACAACGGTGAATGGGTGGCAGGGCTGGGGACAACACCACAAACAGCACTCTGTGACCCTCACGTGCCCAAGCCCTGATTTACTGATGGTTGTTATGCCTCTATGGCTCCTATGAAAGTCTGTAAAACCACAAGCCAAAAACGTCAATCCAAAAGCTCAGTGCAAAGAAGAAAAAGGGAAATCCAAGGAGATGTTATAGCAGTCAGGCTCTACGTGAACTGGCCTGATGTTGAAAGCAGCACACAGGTTGGGGGGGGGGGGGGGGGGAGCAGATGAAGGAACATCTCTGGGATGTGAGTGCAGGTCCCAGCAGGTGGCTGAGGATGCTGCCCCAGCAGCAGCACAGTGTGGGAAGTGCTCCCACACAACTCCCACACCAGGGGACTCAAGATTTGACAGTCTTTGCAAACACACAAACACGTAACAGAAAGAATCAGGATCAGCTCAGGGGGCAAAGATGGAGAATGCAAACCCTCAGCTGTGGCCAGCCTGCTGCCAGCACCTTACCAAGCACATTACTAGCAAAAAAAATCCCTTCCACAGAGACCTGCCTGGTACATCTACATGGCAGTGAGCAGCCCCCCGTAACTGTATGGTTTGTCACTGCTGCTGCTGGGCTGCACTGCTGTGTACCTTCAGTTCCAGCCCTGCAGTCCCCAGCTGACCAAAATCTGCACTGCAACTGAGGACTGCGGTATTTTTCCTTTTAGCCTCCCTCTTGCTTGGTATAACCCAAACCTTCAGTAAAGCACTCATTCTAAACACCTGGGCACGGTTACATGCACTGCTCAGCACTGAAGCTCCTGCCTGGCTTCTTGCTGCTGTTTCAGGGGAACAAAGCAGCTGGATTTAGCCCCGGGTGGATGCACCAAGCTC